GTTCCGGCTGAAAAAACAAGCCGAATAAGTCGAATATGGGGTAAGCCGAACGGGACTTTTCCATGTCTGTCGACCATGGGACATGTCGCCTTAGCTCTCCAATGCTCTAGATTGCCTCCTGATGTTGGTTGAAAGTTGAGGTCGGTGATGGTAGATTGGACACCAAGGTGGGGTTGGTCCACCCTATGCATGGTCGAACAACCTCCCCAGTGCTCCCCTAGCCATCCATTCTTCTTGTGTGTAGAGATGGATGCCTTGGATGATCTTGTGGACGTAGGTTGGACAGGTCTGTGTTTATTTGCATGCGGTTGTGGATTCATGAATCGAAGTAACGATCATCTCGTCCTTCGGAAATGAACAACGTTGATCGAACACATATGATAGCTCCTGAGTGTCTTCTCATGCTGAACTTGGATTGAGCTTGTTTGGGCTGGGGCACAGCCACTTGGCTGACAACAACCCCCCCCCCCCCCACCCCAGCTGTTCCTGCTTTATTTTCATCGTGTACAGTGCTACATTCTAAGGCAATGTATCAAGTGCAAACCAACCTCTCCGTGCAAACCAACTGCTGGGGAGAGGTGGGAGGGGGGATTTACAAAAGTGTAATTAGGAGCGGACGTAATTACACTTTTGCAAATCCCCCCTCCCACCTCTCTCCTGCAGTTGGTTTGCATGGTTTGCACGGAGAGGTTGGTTTGCACTAGATATGTTCCCACATTCTAATGCTGTCCACATGCATGTGACAACCTTATTAGTTGAAACAAAATAAATTTGCACATAAGTTTTTGGTGTAATCCCCATTTATTCCTATCACTTGATGACCAAATCTTTGCAACAGTGACCGTTAACACACTTGACGATTGTAGAGAGCTGAAAAGTCTCGATGCACATATACGGAAGCTGCATATAAAACAATTTAACCGAAAATTAAATATAATAACATTTTGGAAAAAATAATCTCAAAATTATAAATGATATGACGCCAAATACAAACAAAATATGATCTGATTGGTTTTTAGCATCTAACTAAAATTTGCAAATTTTTTAAAAATCCCTAGATCCTTCATTTAGGAAAACAAAAGAAATAACGTTGTAAGTTTGAAATAAGGGAAAGGCTAGAGCCCGGACATCCGGACGGAGGCTAGAGTCTGGATGCACGCGCCGCACGTCTGCTTCACGTGGGACCCATGCCACTCCGTGTCTCACGCCTGCTCCGTCTCGATCTACACCCGCACGGTCTCTCGTGCTACCGCTCGTGTCCCCGCCACACCCACAATTATGCAAGCGGTCCCAGCAGCTACTGCATATGGGGTCCATTGCAACATGTGCAAACACCAGCATACGTCCAAAATAGTTGAAACACTTGCAACATACGTCTGGAACATGAGGGAAACACGTGTATATCCATTACAAAACATATGCAATATCTAGATGAAAACACTTGCAACATATGTGTGAAAACATATGCAACATCATGATGAAACAATCGCAACATGTGTGAAACATATGCAACACCTAGATAAAACACGTGCAACATCCGTCTGAAACAGCTGAAACAATTGGAACAGACGCTTGCAACATACGTGTATAGTCATCGCAACATATGCAACATCCCGATCTACTTTTGCAACATCAACATGAAACACTTGCAACATGCATATGAAACACTTGAAACATACACATGCAACATCCGAGGAAGGAAGGGAGCACGAGTGCAGCCGGAGGAAGCTCGCTCCGGGTCTGGCCACTTCGGATCTCGTGATGTCGTTGTCGACAGCGTCCATGACCTCCTGGTGGGGAACGACGGCATCGGTAGCACCTCGATGCTGCGAGGGACGGGGCACGGCGTGACGAGGCAAAGTGGGTGAAGCACGGCACGCGGCGACAGACGTGGCGCGGCTCGATACGGGATGGGGGCGCCGCCGCGATGCGGCTTGGGGCGGGTGAACGACGCGGTGAGCCACGACGAGCGAGAAGCGAGGAGTTGAGGATTTCTATTAGTTGTCGCAGTGTAGATAGAGTAGATAGAGGAGAGCGTAGATGGGACCTGTTGAGCCGGTCGCTATGCTGGAGCGAACGCGCAGCAGAACGTCCAATTTTTTTAAGGTTCCGGATGTATGTTCGGTAGTATTACCGTTGAAATAACGGTTGGGAATTGAGGCCAACATGGTCACGATAAGAAACATGGTGTGACTCTTCGTTGGGTGGTGCCACTTCTTCACGCCAAGCAAAATCGCGTGGTTTAGCCTAAATATCCACACGTGTAAAAAATGTCTATTTAATTACGCCGACACATATGGTGTGCCATGTTCATTTGTTAGCCATGGTTCCTGACTTGACGAAAAAGACTAGTGTATGAAAATTTAGTTCAGCAAACATATATTTTTATGACAATATTATTTTTTCTGAATTAAAATAAAATAAAAATTTAGAGGACGCATCTCAACAAAATGACCAGCCAAACCTACAGTGGGTGGAGCAGGCCTGAACAAATCGGCACAGCCCAGCTCGGCTCGTTTAGGACTAGGACTCTCCCTCGGCCTACCGTGAAGTCTTCCGCCAATTTATTTTTGAAAAAAGTTCACATTTTTTTACCCAACTTTTGCGAAAGTCCGTTTTTCCTCCCTAAACTCCAAAACCGGACAAAACACCTCCCTCAACTTTTAAAACAGTTTATCTTACCCCCCTGGCCCTGTTATAAGCAGTTTTGAAGGCGGTTTTGTTTTTTTCTTTTTTATTTATTTCGGTTGAATCTTTGAAAAATCATAGTAAATCATAGAAAAATCAAAAAATAAAAATTCTAATTTTGTTGGACTCCATATGAGTAGATCTACACAGTGAACATATAATATGGTATGATTTAGTACAGAGTTTTTGCTGTGGCTTTATATTTATGTTTTTCTGTAATTAATTGGAATAATTCATAGCTGCATTTTCTATGGTCCAACTGTGATGAAATTTTTATGGTGGGCTAATTGTTGCATGATTGAACTGTAGTAAAAATTTCATACTCATTGTATCATGTATAGCTTAGTTATAGATTTATTTATATTTAGCAAGCATAAACCTAAATAAAATCTATAACTAAGTTATATAACACAACAATAAAGATATTGATCACCACGTCGCCAATTATTAGCTTGAAAAAGAAAACGCTAATTGACTGTTAGAATGACGCCGCTGCCGCAGCGCGACGTCCAGGACCAGGATACCAGCCAGAGGCAGCACCTGTAATCAAATGATGCCAGCAGGCGTGAACGTGATCCGTGCATTGCCCTTGTCAGAACGACGTTGGACTTGGAGCGCCCAAGATTGGACAGGACGCCGATGGATACAAACAACACTGTTGGACCCGATGGCTTGACAGCTGTGATCGACGGAGTTGACGTGCAGTGCCGCTGGTGCGGGTTGCATAGGCACAGCTCTCGCCTCTCTCGAATCAGACCGTCAGTATGGGCAAGATACGACCCCAGCAGAAATCACCGTCAGCGCATAGAGATCAAAAGAAAATTTTACATAATGTCACAGAAAAAAGTAAGAATTAAAAAAAAATCAATAAGCACTGTCTCGTATCGGTTCGGTTAAAATAATCTTGTTTTGAAATAGGTGCTATTTGGATAGGAGGAATTTCAAAGAGAAAATATAGGAATCAACAAATAGAGCACTCGGATTCTTGTAGCTAGATGGCAATTTTATAGGGAAAAAAAATTCGCATTCCAATCTTTTTTTTCCTACACAATTGTTGAGTATTCCCTCCATGCCATAAGTTTAACTAAATTTATAAAAAAAATACATGCAACATTTGTATCTATAAATAAATTTACTATAAAAATAGATTCAACGATCTATCTAATGATATTCATTTTATACCGTAAATATTAAAAAATTTATATAAATTTAGTCAAAGTTTTTCTAAAAAATGAAAACGACATTTATTTAGAGATTGGGGAGTAAAAGGCAACTTAATTTTGACCACTCAAGTGCATGCATCGATGCATGTCCACAAGAGTGAGCTATTACTATTTTCTGGAAACTTCACTGTTACAACTATTGTAGTAGTAGAGTACTAGAGTTGGAAGGGTGTGTATAGTAGAGTCAGAAGACTGTCAATTTGATTTTTAAGTACCCGTTCTGTCTTAAAATAAATATCGCTATTATATTCATGGCGATCAAAGTTTTTTTTAAGTCTAACTAGATTTATACAAAATATTAATAGTATTTATATTTTTAAATAAGTTTATTATAAAATATATTCAACAACTTTACCGACCTCTAGTTTGTCCTCTGGGTCAATTTGCTGATGACTGATGCTGAACTTATCCGATTGTGTGTTGCAAAAGGGAGTTGTGTGACAAGGACTAGGTGCCACTATACAAGTCCACGCCTATCATTTTTAGATAGCAACTTTATACTATTTCATATAAGCCGATTTTGTTGACCGGTGAATTTTCTCAGCCACAATTCCACAAACGTCCCATTATGTAGCTCCGACTCCGATTCGACTAGCTGGAGACTTGGACTGATAGCAGCCTAGCAGAGCAAATGGAAGACTCCACCGGCGGCTTCCGCATCGTGTCCAGACGTGCGGTCCGTCCAGAGCCGGCAAGCTCGCTGGACGTCTCGCCGTCGGAGGCCCAGATCATGGAGCTGACGCCGTGGGTTCTCCAATACATTTCGGTCCACTACATCCAGAAGGGCGTCCTTCTGCACAGGACCCAGACAACAGAAGCGCACTCGCCGACGACCTCGCCTTGTCGTTCGCGCGTGCCCTGGGCCGCTTCTACCCGCTGGCCGGCCGTTTCGTCGTCACGGAGATCGGCGGCGGCGCATCCGGTTCCGGTGCGTGTCTCACCGTGTCGCTCAGCTGCAGCAACGACGGGGCTGAGTTCGTCCACGTGGTGGCGCCAGGGGTTTCGATGAGCGACATCATCTCCCCGCGCTACTTCCCGCCGGTGTTGCGGTCCTTCTTCCCGTCGAACGGGATGCTGTGTGGCGACGCGATGCTGGAGCCTCGTCCACTGCTAGGCGCGCAGGTCACCGAGCTCGCCGACGGCGTGTTCGTTGCCATGTCGCTCAATCACGCTGTCGCCGACGGGACCACGTTCTGGCACTTATTCAACACCTGGTCGGAGATCCACCGCAGTGGTGGCCGCGGCTGCGAACTGTCCACGCCGCCGCCGGTGCTCGGCAGATGGTTCCCCGACGCATGCCCTGTGCCGGTCACCCTACCGTTCATGAAGGTGGAGGACATCATCCAGCGCGTCGAGTTCCCACCGGTACGCGAGTGTTTCTTCCACCTCTCGACGGCGAGCGTACGGAACCTCAAGGCAAAGGCAAACGCCGAGATGACCGGCACGGCACAGCCACAAGCAGACCCCATCTCCTCATTGCAGGCCGTGCTTGCACACCTCTGGCGCGGTGCGTGCCAAGCCCGGCGCCTCCCGCCTGACCGGGAGACGATCTGCCTGCTGCGCCCCGTAGGATGCCGAGGAAGGGTGCAGGGCGTGCCGCAGCACTACATGGGCAGCGCCGTGACGCTCGGCGTGGCCAAATGCACCGTCGCCCATGTCGTGGACAAAGGGCTGGGCTGCACGGCGTGGCTGCTCAACCAGGCCGTGGCGTCCTTCGATGAGGCCAAGACGAGGGACGCGCTCGCGTCCTGGCATCAGAAGCCACACATCCTGTACAGTGCAGAGCCAGAAATTTTACGGAGTCTAGAGGAGACATAACACCGTGCTAACAGTAAGGACACTCCGAACGCAGAAACTATGTAGTTTCTGTGTCCATTAGTTAGGATGTCAACTAAGTAAAAAAATTGATGTGGTGTTACAATTAACAAAGAGAGAGAATAAAATAATTTCTTAACAAAAAAACATATATACATAGGAAAAGATGTGATTGGACAAAATATGATTTTGTACGAACTATCCATTAGGAATATACTAGTTTTTATGTGTAGTGTCTACATAAATTAATAGTCAAAGAAATTATTTGTGGTTTCTAGCATTGATTGTGCCCTAACAAAGCTATGCAAAATAGAATCCATAATTATATAATATGCAAGCAAAATTAGACGATCAAAACAGTTTTAAATTCTAAACTAAAATAATCAATAAGTCCTAGGCGGTGCCTCCTCGCTAGCTTTTCTTTTTGAGATGGGTTTGTACGTAGCTATGAGCCTATATATGACAAAGTCTTTTTGGCTACTGGGGCTAATGTGCATGTTAGCATCTAGCGGCCAACGGAGGAGCCCGGGCACCGGCCCAGGTGGCCGGGCTTTGGCTCCGACTACCTGGAGGCGTCCGGCGACGGCGATCCTACGGATATCGTTGTTGCGGCCTCGCCGCGGTTCGACGTCTACGGAAATGACTTCGGGCGGGGCACACCGGTCGCCGTTCGGAGCGGCGCTGGGAACAAGATGGATGGCGTGGTGACCGTGTACCCGGGGCGTGATGGTGGTGGGAGCATGGGGGTGGAGGTGTGCATGTCTCAGGAAGCGCTCGCCAGGCTCACAGCGTTCATGGAGGTAGTGGACATGGCGTGAGATTGTTTACTTAGTTTTTTTTCTCCGTTGTGTTGTACTAGTACAGGTATAAACATTCCATGATGCTCCTGTCAAAACGTCCGTCTATGACTCTGCGTCTGGACATAGCTTCCCAAGAGTGGGCTCCAAACAAGAAAGCAAATCCCTATTCCCTTGTGCTTACCCCGCTATCCGCCCATCGCTCCTGAGCCCACCCCCACCTCCTTGGTGTTTATCCGAACCGCCCGGACCCAAAGTAGCCATAACTACTCATCCATCGGCCCCTTCTCCAACGCGCGCTCGTCGGGCTGCTGTGTTGTTTCCTTTCCCCGTCGCCAGCCGCGCCGCGCGCTCTCGCTCCCTGCGCCGCTCACCTGCGTGGCAGGCACATGCGTCGGCGTGGCTGCTCATCCATCCGCCCCCTTCCTCAACGTACGCCCGTAGGACGCGCCGAAGACGGATGGGGCGGGCTGCGCGGACGTTCGAGCGCTAGCCACGTCCATAAACATTTGGTCAACAACTCTTCAGAAAGAGAGTACATTGCAACAATAGCTACGTATATGTATACTAGACAAGTATTTGTCCAAATTTATTTTTAAAACAACAGTTTTGTTTTGGACGGAGGACCGGAATACGGGATACTAGTATACTACTATCCCTTTGTGTCGGTTTGCAAGTCCTATAGGACCTGCATTTATTACTATATTCATGAAATGTAATCTTTGTGAGTTTAAATGAAGAAATAATATTAGCTCCATTGATTCCTCTACTTTTATCATTTTTTTCTTTCCATACCATTTTGTTAGGGTTATCATATGCGAGGCTCAGAAATTTGTGCGATGAAATGTGTATGAAACTGACCTTGTGCTTGAATGCTCAGATGCACTAACTGAAAATGAAAGCACGAATTTATATAGTCCTAACAAAGGAATACCTTAGCAAAAGAATATATATCTGCATTGTATATCTGTTTAATGCATGACTTTTTAAAAAAGTTACCACGACATTGGAAATCACCAGCCAAAACGCAATTCTAAACCTGAAATCCTATCACTCAGCTAGACGCAGGGAGCCTAGTGCACCGCAAATGTCAGCTTCGTCTCCGCACCACGCAGCAGGGAAGTGTGTTAACAGAATAGATATGTATGCATAACAGAAACGTGTGTACTGAGATAGCTATAAGATAGGGATTAGTTTTGATAGATCAATCTGTAAAGCTACGGCTGTTAGCATCTCCCTATTTTTAGCTAGTTTGGTACGGTGTAATCCATATATGTACACGCCACGGTCTAGGCTGTTTCGTCCATTCAATTAACACGCAATCACCGGCGAACCCAAGCTAGGGTCACGGTGTTCCTCCTATCCTGCGCCTCTGATCTTTCACGGTAATCAGAGCATACTAAAATGCTAAAATTCGCGCCATGTCTTCCTCTAATTCCTCCAATCCCTCATCCAATCCCTTCTTCGGCCATGCTGTTACGGAGAAATTAGGGAAGCTAAATCATGCGCTGTGGAAAGCACAAGTTCGCTCAGCCATACGTGACGCCCGTCTTCAGGGGTACATCAATGGCGACCGAAAAGCTCTGGTGAAAGAGCTGGTCGTCACCACCGACGGCAAGCAAGAGAAGACGCCGAATCCGGCTTTTGAAGAATGGGAGGCCATGGACCAGACTGTCCTGAGCTTCCTCCTGTCGTCTCTCTCCAAGGAGGTGGCGACTCAAGTCTCCGGAAGCGAGACTGCAGAAGCGGTCTGGAACGCCATCGAGCAGATGTACGCTTCTCAGACGCGTGCACGCACCGTCAACCTTCGCATCGCCCTCGCCAACACCAAGAAAGGGAACTCCACTGTCGCCGAATACTACGCCAAGATGAAGGCGCACGGTGACGAGATGGTAGCTGCTAGGCGCCGTCTAGATGATGAAGAGCTGGTCGAGTACATTCTCACCAGACTTGGAGAAGAGTACTCTTCCCTGGTCACAGCCCTTACAACAAGGGTTGAGCGCATCACAATGGGGAGCTGTACTCACAGCTTCTCAACTTCGAAACCCGCATGGATCTGACCTACGAAAACAGCTCCGGGTCGGCCAACACCGCAAGCCGAGGACGCGGCGGCTTCTCCAGAGGCAGTGGTCGCGGCCAAGGAGGGCACGGCGGCCAGAACAACCAGCACGGTGGCGGACGTGGACGTGGTGGCTCGCCGTCACGTCCACGTGGCAACTCCAATCGGGGTGGCGGTCGTGGCAGGTTCGGCAACAACAATCACCGCATCACGCCATCTGAAGATGATGATCGCCCGCTTTGCCAAGTGTGCTTCAAGCGTGGGCACACGGTGGACAGGTGCTGGCACCGATTTGATGAAGATTATGTGCCAGATCCGAAGCTTGTCGCTGCTACAATGAACACCTACACCGTCGACACCAACTGGTACACGGATACCGGCGCCACCGACCATATCACCAGCGACCTGGAGAAGATGTCTTTCAGGAACAAATACCATGGGGGTGATCAAATTCACACCGCCAATGGTGCAGGTATGCATATTAGCCATATTGGTCACACTACTTTTCATACCCCAAATCGTGATATTCATCTTAAAAATGTCCTACATGTTCCTCAAGCCACAAAAAATCTTGTATCTGTTCATAAGCTAGCTTCTGATAATTCTGCATTCCTAGAATTTCACCCTGATTTTTTTGCCATTAAGGATCAAGCTACGAAGAAAACCATCCTTAAGGGGCGATGTCACCAGGGGCTTTATCCTATCCCCGCCACTTCAATAAAGCAAGTCCATGGTGTCTCCAGGGTCTCTGTGTCCAGATGGCATAGCCGCCTAGGGCATCCCTCGTCTAGTATTGTGAAGCAAGTTATCAGTAGCCATAATCTTCCTGTTATAGATGAATCTTCTAGTGAGTCGGTATGTGATGCCTGTCAACAGGCTAAGAGTCATCAGTTACCTTATGCAAAATCATCTAGTGTGTCTTCTGCTCCTTTGGAACTTGTTTTCTCTGATGTCTGGGTCCTGCTCTAGAATCAGTTGGCAGAAAAAAAATATTATGTGAGTTTTATTGATGATTATAGCAAATTTACATGGATTTATCTTCTGAAATATAAACCCGAGGTGTTTCAGAAATTTAAAGAATTTCAAGCTCTAGTTGAACGGATGTTTGATCGAAAAAACCTTGCTATGCAGACTGATTGGAGAGGCAAGTATCAAAAACTCAATTCCTTTTTTGATCAAATAGGCATTACCCATCTTGTTTCGTGCCCACATACACATCAGCAAAACGGGGCTGCCGAGCGCAAGCACCGTCACATAGTAGAGGTTGGGCTCTCTTTGTTATCTCACGCCTCAATGCCATTAAAATTCTGGGACGAAGCGTTTACTTCTGCTACCTATCTCATTAATCGCACACCTAGCCATGTCATTAATAATTCCACTCCTTTGAAACTTCTATTTCATCGTGATCCGGATTACTCCTTCCTTAGAATCTTTGGGTGTGCCTGTTGGCCTAATTTATGGCCGTATAATTCACACAAGCTTGAGTTTGGTTCGAAACGCTATGCTTTTCTTGAATACAGTCACTTACATAAAGGATATAAATGTCTTGATATTGCCACTGGCCGCATATATATTTCTAAGGACGTTACCTTTGATGAGAACATATTTCCTTTCTCTGAACTCCATCCCAATGCAGGTTCACGTCTCTGTTCAGAGATAAATCTCCTTCATCCAATGTTGTCAAATTCTGGGGAAGAAACTGTAGTTGATCAATATGCTAATACCACTAACAGTTTCTCTGGTAGCGTTACTGAAAATGCAGGAGCAAACACAGCTGGCGACATGCAATATCCAGATGTCAGCCTCGGCGCAACACCTGATCCGCTTCTGCAGTCTTATGTGCCCGTGGTCGAAGCAGTGCGCTGCCCCCGGCCAGTCCTGCGCTGTCGCCTGTCGGTGGCCAGGGGGGACAAATTCGCAGCACTAGCAGGAGGCTCAGCAGGAGGCTCCAATCCTCGACGCCAGCGCCGAGGGATCTTCTATGACGCAAGAAGAAGTCGTGGGGTCCTTTGCTCCGACTGTTCCTGGTGTGTCGCGTCCTCACACACGTCTACAAAGCGGCATCAGGAAAGAGAAGGTATACAAAGACGGTACTGTCAGATATTCTTTTCTAACCACATCTGGTGAACCATGGAGTACAAGTGAAGCACTGGCAGACAAAAATTGGAAAGCAGCTATGGACGCGGAATATGGAGCCCTTATGCACAATAAAACTTGGCATTTGGTTCCACCTCAAAAAGGAAGAAATGTCATCGGATGCAAATGGGTTTATAAAATAAAGAGAAAGAAAGATGGAAGTCTGGACAGATACAAGGCAAGACTGGTAGCCAAAGGTTTCAAGCAGATGTATGGAATTGATTATGAAGATACGTTTAGCCCCGTTGTAAAACATTCCACTATTCGTATCATTTTGTCATTAGCTGTGTCTAGAGGGTGGAATCTTCGATAGCTTGATGTTCATAATGTCTTTTTGCATGGATATTTAGAAAAAAGAAGTTTATATGCAGCAGCCACCTGGCTATGAAGATTCTACAAGATTAGGATATGTCTGCAAGCTTGATAAAGCTCTTTATGGTTTGAAACAGGCTCCTAGAGCTTAGCATGCAAGACTTAGTAACAAGTTAACGAGTCTTGGTTTTCAGGTGTCCAAGGCCGACACATCATTGTTCTTTCTTAATAAAATGATCTAACTATGTCTGTCCTTGTATATGTAGACAATATCATAGTAGTCAGCTCTACAGGAAAGGCCACAGATGCATTGCTCAGACAACTGAAGAGTGAGTTTGCACTGAAGGACCTTGGAGAGCTCCATTATTTTCTTGGCATCGAAGTGTCAAAGGTACATGATGGTCTAGTGTTAACACAGGATAAATATGCATCAGATCTATTAAAAAGAGTAGGGATGTCAAACTGCAAACCAGTTTCGGCTCCTCTTTGTACCAGTGAAAAATTATCTCTCCAT